CAATAAAAGTTCAATGCAGGTTTTGGGCTCTTCAACTAATGTGTCTAGGTCTAAGTATCAGATTAAGAGTAAATGGATTTTTGGTTGTCAATATTCATGTCACTAAATTCAATTTGGTGTCGTTAAAATTGGAGAAACAAATTTAAAAGATTACAATTTTATTACAGATTGAATAAAAGATTACATTTTATTCTGTACAAATTATATTTAAAAGACAATCTTGCTCAAACAGAATAGAAAAACGTGAGTAACTTAACATTATAATATATTTGATAGATAGAATGAAATATCACTATTTGTTAAGTTATTAGAATTGTTTAAAATAAGATGAAATAGAATGAAACATGAAAATTGTTGCTACAGTTGACTTTATCTAATTGTTTACAAGTCTTGCCATACCTTCTACTTCCTAAAGAACTGCATGAAACTTTTCTCCTATTTCATTTTCATATGATAAAATATCTAGTGTATATCTAATCTTATTTCATCCATTTCATTCATCATTAAATTTCCAAAAAGCCAAGAGGACAAGTATGTACTTTCAAGAAATGCTAAGGACATATGGGACATTGGATATGCCCCTTATCAACTGCAGAAAAAAATCAAGCAGTGTTCCCCTCCCTCATGCATATTTAAAACCTTCAACCCACCAACTGAAGCCAAGAAACTCAGTGCATATACATAACAATGGCTAACACTGCAACCAACAACAAAACAACTTTGTCAAGTTATTTCCATTCCCTTTCTCAAACTCCTCAAAGACTGAGAAAGAGAATGCTAGCCACTTGGACCCCAGATCAGGAACTCAACCAAGTGAGGCAAAGGTCTGGAGCAGACATGAAGCGGAGTCTCAAGTGGTATGATCTGGCAGCTCTTGGACTAGGTGGAATGCTAGGTGTTGGTGTGTTTGTTACAACTGGTTCTGTAGCCCACCATCAATCTGGTCCTTCAGTTTTCATATCCTATATTATAGCTGGACTATCAGCTCTTCTCTCCTCCTTATGTTACACTGAATTTGCTGTTCAAGTCCCAGTAGCAGGAGGAGCTTTCAGTTATTTAAGATTAACATTTGGTATAGAAAACCTTTCTACTGTTTTTTTTTTTTTTTTTTTCACTTGATGCTCTTCATAAGTCATCCATTGAATTTCTCTTGTTCCTTGTCTCAAGTCTTTTATGTGGTTGGTGTAGGAGAATTTGTGGGATATTTTGCTGGGGCAAATATACTATTGGAGTATGTGTTTTCCAATGCTGCTGTATCAAGGAGTTTCACAGAGTATTTGAGCATTGCATTTGGAGAAAATGATGCAAACGTGTGGAGAGTGAAAGTGCATGGATTGCCAAAGGACTATAACATGTTGGATTTCCCAGCTGTGTCTCTTATTCTTCTTCTCACTCTCTGCTTGTGTTATAGGTGATTTTTTTTTTCCACTTTTTTCCACCACAAGGTGTGCCACTTTTCTTTTGTCACTTTTGTTAGCTTGGAGATCAAGTTTTCATTGGATAAACTATTTAATATTTTAACATGCTATCCTGTCTTGTGAAACAGATTTACTCCTTTTGTATCTTTTTTTTTTTTTTTTTTCTAAGTTCTTTTTGTCAAATAATTGAACCATTTGACTACACTGGATTTAGCTACTACGTAGTAGGTAAATTTAAATAGTTGAAAGTAAAATTTAATATAACTTTTTTTTACAAATCAAAACTAACTTCCAAAACTAATTTTAACTTATGATATAAAGGCAATATTTATTTTATCTTCCAATTTTTTTTTCTTTTGCTTATTACAAAATTTGTCTAAAGAATATGATTATAAAAAGGATGGTGGTTTTTTTTATTCACATATTCTTTTTGGTTGATTGCAGTACCAAGGAGAGTTCCATGTTGAACCTTATCATGACAGTCTTCCATGTGATTTTCTTTGGATTTATCATTGTTACTGGTTACTGTACTGGAAGTGTAAAAAACTTGGTGAGTCCAAAAGGGATAGCACCTTTTGGTGTGAAAGGTGTTGTAAGTGGAGCAGCTAAAGTCTACTTCAGCTACATAGGCTATGACTCAGCTTCAACCATGGCAGAGGAAATCAAAGATCCTTCTAAGAACCTTCCTATTGGAATTGTGGGTTCAGTTCTCATAACCACAGTGCTCTATTGCCTGATGGCTTTATCTTTGTGCATGATAACTCCTTATGACAAGGCCAGTATATGAATTCAACAGTTCTCTATAAATTTTCTTTCTAAGCTTGAAGTATTAGGACTTAAAACATGTTACATTACATAGATGTACATATATAAATGTTGCTTTGTTTTAGTGATAAGAGATAAAGCAATTATTGGTGGTACTTTAACAGATATCAGATAAAGCATCATTTTCATTCGCTTTTGCTAAGGTTGGATGGATGTGGGAGAGCAATCTTGTTGGGGCAGGTGCAAGTTTGGGAATAGTGGCTTCTCTCTTGGTTGCCATGTTAGGCCAAGCTAGATACCTTTGTGTCATAGGAAGGGCCCGATTGGTGCCATCTTGGTTAGCTAAAGTTCATCCTTCTACTGGCACCCCATTGAATGCCACACTATTTTTGGGTAAGTTTTTTTTTTAAATATATTATTATTATTGTTTGTTTCTTCTAATTAACTAACGAAATTAATTTTGTCCTTTTTTTTTCTCCTTTATCTTTTTCCCACATGGTCTGGAAGCTAGTGATCCTTAACTACCTCATAATTACTTAAATGACATTTTTTCTATCGCATGTTAAAAAATATATATAACAAATAATTTGCCACATTATCTATCCTCTCACCATACTCACATTATTTAGTGACACGTAATATACTATTTGACGTATAAAGAAGTTACAAATTTACCTTGGTAATATATAAAGTTCCATGAACACTCTTAATTTCTTCAAACCAAAAACATATAATTATATTCATTTATAATAACTTTTGTACTTGGATATCGGTAAAAAAAAAAAAAAAAAAAAAAAAAAAAACATTTTCTTAGAATTGCAACGAGTAAATAAAATTACAATCCAATCAACCTGAATCTTACCGAGAAAACTTACAGAACACTAATTTCAATGTATTCATTTATTTATTTGCTTGGTGCAGGAGTTTGCACAGCATCGATTGCTCTTTTCACTGAGCTTGACATTATAATCGAGTTGATCAACATCGGCACGCTCGTGGTGTTCTACTTGGTGGCCAATGCTCTCATATACCGTCGATACGTAATCATTAGCCACACCCCTCCCTTCTACACTCTCCTTTTCCTGATTCTCTTTTCACTTAGTGCACTAGGCTTCTCCCTTTCGTGGAAATTCAATCAGCTACGGTGGGGTCTTCCACTCTTTGGTGGGCTCATGATCACTATCACAGCTTTTTACCACCACAAGGTGCCTCAAACCCATGCCCAACATGCTGATACTGATTGGTGGGTGCCATTCATGCCCTGGCCACCTGCCCTCTCCATCTTTCTCAATGTTTTCCTCATCACCACTCTAAAGCTCCTCTCTTTCCAAAGGTTTGCTATGTGGGCATGCTTCATTACACTCTTCTATCTACTCTATGGTGTTCACTCCACTTACCAAGCAGAAGAGATTGAGATTGGTGCTAATCAAGTCAATTCAAGCTCAACCAACCTACAAACCAATAAGGTAGAAGTTCAAGTGCTATAGTTGGGGAAGCTGAGTTCTTGTAGCATTTCATTTTGATTTAACTCTTCTCCCTTTACCGGCCTCCTCCAAACAACACTAATATCAATTCCATTTATTAAAAAAGTATAGTTAAAAAGTGCATGGGATTAACCTTCTGTATATATGTAAGTTGTGTGATATATATATATATATATATTTATAGAGAGAGAGAGAGAGAGAATTTTCTAAAGATATGTTGCGCCATTTCCTGGTTTGATGAATGATACAAGATGGAAGCTATTGAAAAAAGTAACAGTAGCGTTCCTTAGAGGTGGAGATGATTAGGATCACCTCCGAAAACGATGGGAATGGTCAGTGGTGGGGGCAATATTGTGAGGTGTGCTGAAACACTTCGTTCATTGTATCTTTCCGGCGGCACATATGTCATACATGGGAGATGAGTCTGTATCTGGGTTTAGACAATTTGGACATGCCAATACTCAATGTAAACATCGACATCAATGTCACTTCAGCTCCGATTTAATAATGCATTTACCCTTTGAATCCACGCTCAACTGTCTCCGATTTATTGCATTTACCGTTTAAATCGAACATGTTGAGCTTAATTAGTTTAAAAATGAATAATTGAAAGACTGCAGATTAGGCTGGTTCGCTGCTAGTTATTCTGTTCATCCAATTAACTTTCAATCTGGGCAAGGTTAGGCTGAAATTTACACAGATTTTTTTTTTCTAAAAAAAAAAAGTTTCATACTTCAAAAATGATAACGACTGTTCACAGGAATTGAAACAGAATACTTAACAATACTTTATATATAAAAACGAAATGTAAAAATAGTTACATCAAACTTCCGAGTAAAATCTGAACACATTAGATTAATAGACCACACAAAAAAGGTTATTTTACTTCCATTCAAGTCCACAAAAGGCCTTAGAAGAATAAAAGTCCGTTGCGCACTTCATTGCTATGTCAGAAACCCACATAACATATCTGAAAGACTCGTCCAGGATTGACTTCCAGATCATAAATGTTCTAGCTGATGACTTGAACAAATTGATTCAATTAAAGAAAAAGAAAAAAAAAAGGTTAAATGGCAATATAAGAACGAAACTCTAAAGATATACATTATTCCAGAGTGGACGATTTCACCTAGTCTAAAGTAATACAGTATTCATATATTACAACAGAATGAACCACGAGAAAGGGATGTATATTTTTGTCATAAAAATTACATCAGACTGAACCATGAAAGGGAAATATTAAATAACTGAATGACCTACAAGAATCATGTAGAAACGAAATAATAGAGGACTTGAATAAATTGATTGTACAAATGAATTATTCTAATTAGTCTTACAACAACGTTGGGTATTTAGCATCTAGAAAGTCTCTAAGAGTCCGAGCAGCTTTATGACCACCCATTAATTCCGCTAGCTTCTCAACAGGAAGAAGTGCAAGTTCTGCCATGCTCTTACACCCATCCATTATGGCCCTGTAGTTTGAGTCCGTAACACCTGGAAGTCGTCTTAAAAACTCCACAGCCGATGTATTGTAATTTTCAGCCCTGTGACGGCAGTTAAATATTTGTATTGTTAAGAACAATTAATAACTGCATAGACTCATTAATGATGACACAAATTGATACCAAAGACTCTGAATCGTAGCTCTTCAGCTCTCAAATTAATATAGTAATGCATAGAGTCCGCCCATACGTAAAGGCAAATAAAGGAGCGTGTTGAGCCCTGACTGCTAAGTATTTAATACTAGCAATTATAACTTAAGTCAAAATGTATTTAATAAATATATCCTACGAATCTACCATTAACAATACCATAGATCCATATCATCTTAGATTTGCAGGCTGGAGGTGCATCTGCATGCATTTAAAGCTATGAGCGAAATCAAGTCGTTAATGTTTTGTACAATTACAGCACCTTAGCGATTCATTGCCTAATGAGCACATGTTTTCACTTCATCGTTGAAAGCTCAAGGTGATTCAAGTTTAAACTATGACAAAGCAACTTACCTCACATCATTTTCCACAATGCCTTCTTCTGAGGGAACACCCACTCTGATTGCTTTTATTTCATCTGGCTCGTCTTGATTTGCCTTGAGTGAAGCAAATATTTCAGCAGTAGCATGCAGACTTCGAGACCAGATTATCCGTAGCCTGGGGAAGTGTAGAGCAAGCAAAGACAACTTTGATATAATGCTATTGGGTGTCACATCATCACCAATATCACTAGCAGACTGCAAAAGATATCCACCAAAGGTTTAATGCCATTTACAATTTGACAAAAATATTGTTCGTGCTATGCACTACAATATAAATACATAATGTTAGAATAATCACTTCCATGAAAGCCGAAAATAAATACTTTCTATCAGCACAGCCTCACCGTACTAAATGTGAAACCCAGGAATTAATATACTAATTCGGACCAAAATATTAATGACAATCTTTGATAGGACTCCCAATAAGGATCATACGGTGATAAGTGAGCATGGGCCTGTTAGAGATGGAGTAGTTAGGCCCAAAATATGGAAAGTTTATACTAGGAGAAAGAAAGTGGGACCAAGTGGGAAGGAGAGAGAAATTAGTTAGAAAATGGGAATGACGTGTAAGAAATCTGTAAGAGGAGCGTTTCCAATAGAAGGGAGAAGAGAGAAGTTTGTTAGAGGAGGAGGGGGGAATCCAATAGAGGGAGGAGAGCTATTCTCTGGAGGAGTCTATAACTCTGGTTTTGTTAGTGTGGTTGTAGAGCTATTGGCTCATCACCTTATATTGCATAATTCTAGTAAATACCATATACATCACATTTCAGTTATTACTAGTTTCTATCATTGGTCCGACCTGCCGGATACCGAGAGGAGCTAGCATCGTTGTCCATGCCACCAAAAATGTCTGACCGAGTAGAAGCATTGGAGGAGAGATTGACAGCAATGGAAGTGTCAATACGACAGTCATTGGTGGAATTTCGCCAATCCATTTTGGAGGAGTTTGAATATATCTCGTCTCAAGTATCGCGATTACCAGAGGAACAATATTTGGGCTATTTTATTGGAGAACTGCGATCAAAGATTCGGAGGAGGGTTCGCACCTTCAACCCTGTGAATCGTCTTCAAGCCATGCGCTTGGCCCGAGATGTTGAAATGGAATTGCAGGGGGCTGGGTTCCAGCGAGGAGGAGGAGCACGTGGTTGGAAAAGCAATTGAGATTTGGGTACGGGTCAAGAGGACAAGTTGGGATCCGGGTCGGGTCAGGACCCATATCTAGGAAGATCAGGAGTTGGATTAAGCCCAACCCAAGGCACCCAGACCAAACCTTTTTCGGTAGGGAGTTCGAGCTCCCATGAGTCACGATCTGTCACACAACAGGGGAGTCGTGGATCTAGCGACCGTGTTTCGTCCAATGATCGCAATCGCGGAACGAAACATCTACCTTATTCCGAATTGATGAATAGGAGGGCTCAAGGGCTTTGTTTCTGATGCAGAGAGAAATACCACCCTCTGCACCAATGCACAGAGCGACAGTTGCGATTAGTGGTGTTAGCTGAAGACGAGACAGTAAATGACGAATGGGAGATCATCGCAATAGAGGTACGAGAGGAGGAGGATGACCATACCTTAGAATGTGGGTCCATGGGACTGTTTGTAGAAGTCGAAGTGTCATGTGGTGGTCAGAATCGTCCGTCAACGTTGCATTTAGAGGGTCGTCTCAACGAAGTAGCTTTGGGGGTGTTGATTGACAGTGGAGCAAGTCACAATTTTATTTCTCCTCATGTGGTGGCTGCTATGGAACTAAAAGTTAACAAAGGAATATTGATTGGGGTGCATTTGGGAGACGGGCATAAGGTTTACACTATTGGAAAATGCGAGAAGTTGGAATTTCAATTAGGGAATTTCTCTACTACAATGGAGCCATATGTGTTGGAATTAGGAGGCATAAACATGATTTTAGGAGTTGCTTGGTTGTGGAGATTTGGAAAGATCACCTTCGACTGGGAGGAGATGACTCTGAGTTTTTCTTGGCAGGGCAAACAAATAGAGTTGCAAGGTCAGAAACGGAGCAAATATGGACAGCAAGTACAATCAGTAACTTCTTTACAGAGTCTGGTAAAAGGGAATAGTTGTGAGGAAAGATCCAACTTGAAGGAGAGTTTATCTGATAAACAAATTGGGGATATTCAACAAATTTTAGTTGAATTTGAGGTGGTCTTCCAGGAGCCACAGGGGCTACCACCATACAGAGACGTAACTCATTCCCTGGAGTTGCAACGTGAAGTGGGACCCGTTAGTGTGCGGCCATATCACTACCCCTATCACCATAAAGTGGAGATTGAAAGGCAGGTTGAGGAGATGTTAAAGCAGGGAATTATTAGGCACAGCTCTAGTGCGTTCTCCAGCCCGGTAATTCTTGTTAAGAAGAAAGACGGTTCTTGGCGAATGTGTGTGGATTATAGGGAGTTGAATAAATTCACAATTCCTGATAAATACCTCATTCCCATGGTAGATGAGTTGTTGGACGAGTTGCATGGTGCAACCTAATTTTCTAAACTCGACCTGAAGTCGGGATATCATCAAATACGTATGTCGGAGGAGGATATTCATAAGACAGCGTTTAGAACACATGAGGATCACTATGAATTTTTAGTGAACGTCCCTGCAACCTTTCAATCTACTATGAATAATATTTTTAAGCCCTATTTACGACAGTTTGTATTAGTATTCTTTGATGATATATTAGTGTACAACAAAGGATGGGAAGAGCATTTGAAGCACTTAATTATAGTATTGAAGTTGCTGCAAGAACAGTACCTTATGGCCAATAAAAAAAAGTGTGTTTTTGGGAGTAGGCAAGTGGAGTACTTGGGTCATTTAATTTCTGAGCAAGGGAGTTACAGTAGACCCGGAAAAAATTAAAAGTGTGGTAAATTGGCCCATTCCGCATAATGTTAAGGGTGTAAGAGGTTTTTTGGGTTTGACGGGGTATTACCGGAAGTTTATTGCTGATTATGGAAAGATTGCTCGACCTCTCACAGAATTGCCAAAAAAGGAAGGATTCCACTGGGGGCCCGCCGCATTATTGGCCTTTGAAAAATTAAAAAGGGTAATGACTCAAGCTCCCCTCTTGGCTTTGCCTAATTTTTCTAAGCCATTTGAAATTGGGTGTAATGCCTCAGGAGCCGGGATAGGGGCAGTATTGATGCAAGACCGACAACCTATAGTTTATTTTAGTAAGGCTTTGTCACCTACTAATTTAACTAAATCTGGCTACGAGAAAGAATTGATGGCGTTAGTTTTAGTTGTCCAACATTGGCGGCCATATCTGATTGGCAGTAGTTTTAAGGTGTATTCTGACCAGAAAAGTTTGAGACACCTTTTACATCAAAGAATCACCATTGTAGCTCAACAGAATTGGTCGGCGAAGCTATTGGGATACCAATTTGAGGTGATTTACAAACCTGGTCCAGATAACAAGGCTGCTGACTCGTTGTCACGAATGTGTGAAGATGGGGAATTGAAGGAGATTCAATCCTATCCGGTATGGCTGCAGGAACAACAAGTCAAAAAGGAAGTTGAAATGGACCCTTTCTTACAGCAAGTAGTGCAAAAATTGCAACAGGGGGACTCTTTTGCTACGGGGTTCAACATGCAGAGGGGAATATTATTATACAAAGACAGATTGGTGTTGTCAGCAAAATCAGTCTTGATTCCCATCATTTTAACTGAGCTTCATTCTTCACCAGCAGGTGGCCACTCGGGTTTTTTAAGAACCTATAAGCGCATTTCAGCAAATTTATATTGGAAGGGTATGAAAGAGATAATTCAAGAATTTATTAAGGCATGTGATGTCTGTCATCGACAAAAGTATGAGGCAATTTCTCCAGCAGAATTACTTCAACCCTTGCCTATTCCGGATAGGATTTGGGAAGATATCTCCCTAGATTTCATTACGGGTTTGCCAAAATCGAAAGGGTTTCAGGCGATATTTGTGGTGGTGGATCGACTATCTAAATATGGTCATTTTATTTTGCTCAAACATCCTTACACCACGAAGAAGATTGCTGAACTGTTTGCCAAGGAGATTGATAGACTTCACGGCATTCCACAATCCATTGTTAGTGATCGAGACCCTTTATTTATGAGCCTATTTTGGCAAGAATTATCTAGGTTGCAGGGAACAACATTGAAAATGAGTTCAGCTTACCATCCTAAGACCGATAGTCAAACGGAAGTGGTCAACCGATGTGTAGAAGCTTATTTGCGGTGTTTTGTGTCAGAACAGCCCAAAAATTGGTCATATTGGGTTTCTTGGGCAGAGTTATGGTACAATACTACCTTTCACAGATCTACCGGCAAGACTCCCTTTGAAGTTGTTTATGGGAGAGCACCACCTTCATTAGTGCGTTTTACGCAAGGGGAAACACGTGTGGAAGCAGTAGCAGCTGATTTAGTTGATAGAGATGAAGCAATTCGCCAATTGCAGTATCACTTGTTGCGAGCTCAGCAGCAAATGAAAAAATATGCAAAAAAAGAAACGCAGGTACATGCGATTGGAGGTAGGAGAGTGGGTGTTTATCAAACTACGTCCACATGGGCAACAAACCATAGCCCGACGAATTAATCAGAAGTTGGCACCTCGATATTACGGGCCGTTTCCAGTAGTGGAAAAAATTGGAGAAGTATCCTATAAGGTGCAGCTGCCGGAATCAGCCAGAGTACACCCGGTTTTTCACATTTCTCAACTGAAAAAGGCTATTGGGAATCATATGGTGGAATCTATCTTACCATCAGAATTGGGCATAGAGGAGGAAGATAAGGAAGAACCTGAGACCGTATTGGCGGCTCGAGAAATTGCTAAGGGTGGTACCATACTCAAGCAATGGTTGGTGAAGTGGAAGGGGAGAAAAGAGGAGGAGACAACATGGGAAGATGATGTGTTGCTGCGAAGTCAATTTCCTTCATTCAGCCTTGTGGACAAGGCTGTAGTTGCAGAGGGGGGTAATGATAAGACTCCTAATAAGGATCATACGGTGATAAGTGAGCATGGGCCTGTTAGAGATGGAGTAGTTAGGCCCAAAATATGGAAAGTTTATACTAGGAGAAAGAAAGTGGGACCAATTGAGAAGGAGAGAGAAATTAGTTAGAAAATGGGAATGACGTGTAAGAAATCTGTAGGAGGAGCGTTTCCAATAGAAGGGAGAAGAGAGAAGTTTGTTAGGGGAGGAGGGGGGAATCCAATAGAGGGAGGAGAGCTATTCTCTGGAGGAGTCTATGACTCTGGTTTTGTTAGTGTGGCTGTAGAGCTATTGGCTCATCACCTTATATTGCATAATTCTAGTAAATACCATATACATCACATTTCAGTCATTGCTAGTTTCTATCAATCTTTCTCAGAAATGGGCTGCCAGTCAAACAAACTCCCATCCTCATCTAGACATGCCAGTGCCATTAATAATACTAACAGTAGTGGTTTCTCATAAATGGCCACTTCAGGAGGAGGAGGAGGAGGAGAAGAAGTAGAAGTAGAAGAAAAGGAAGAGAGATAGTGGAAGTATTGTGGTCAACAAACCTGGAATGAGAAGCTCTTATCCTGTGAAAACTCAATCAAGAGAACAGGTATTCTGTAATATCGTACCATTGTCTCGACCTGGTGGAATAGACGACCTGATGTGAAGCTCATAAAGAGATCCTGAATACTTTTTCTTTCCACACAGATTAACGGTGATAGGATATAGTCCCCAACTTCTAGGGTCACTGGAACTATGCGCATTCCCTTCTGATGAAGAACATTTGGAAGGCTGCTCATGAACTCCCGCATGTCCACAATAACCTGAAATGTTGAAATTCCAAAACTATAAATTCCGTCACAGTTATACGATCATCATGCATAAAAAAATATCACAAACCTGCATTTCTTTATCAGCCTCCTTTCTCCCACCTGCTTTTCTGGTTACTGAGTTTTGAGGAGTATTTAAATCTGATTCTAATGTAGAATTCAATCCTAAACAATGCCCACTCTGATTGACAGCAGGATAAATGCACCAGATAAAACAAAATAAGGGAACTGAAATCAGAAAAACAATGGACACAAGAAGCAACTAACCGCATAAAAGAGAAACAAGAGGTAAAGAAGAAAATTATCAAACAAACCTGGTCAACTGGAATCATCATCATAGATTTTTGCCTAATCAAAGATTCAAATGCTCCATTCTCTCTGCGTATACTTGCCTCAAACTTCTGCACCTCCGTTGAATCTTCGTAGAAAAGAAAATATACTTTTAACCGTTTTGAGGGATTCTCAGCTTTGTAGACTTCGATTTCCCTAACAAAGGCCATGTCAGGATGGTAAACAATTAATACGGAGGGCTTTAATATATCCAGTATAGGTTGATCACTTTCTAGGGCATAAAAATGCACTGGTGGTAGTGGCTTCCCATTTCTTGCTGCAACATCAGTATTTGTATGCTTCCGAAGAACTATGTTTTCCACAGAAATCCCTTCGTCTGTGGTACCAGAAAATCTAGCGGTACTGACAGGATTAGTCTCATCTTCATTGATTTTGTTTTTTGAATCAGACATCCCAATTTTATTACTCACTGCTTCCTCTTTATCATTGTTCTGAACTCCAGAGCCATCAAGAACAATGGGGACATTTCTAATCCCCACTTTTCTCTTTCTTTTACCACGACCCTGTCCACCAAAATCAGGCTGCGGAGTGTCCTCAACAACATGGTCATTTTCAGAAACATTTCTAAGTTTTGATGCAGCTGCCAAAAGCGCATCATGTTCCTGCTTACCAATGCTGGTGGTTTCTGCATTCTGAGCAGGTGTTATGGGAGTAACTCCATCAAGAATCCCAAAACCTTTGGGTTTAGGATCCTTAGGCTTCTTTTTCTTATTCACTATGTCACGCAGCTGTACTTTGTTTAGTAAGTACTTCTTCCATTCTTCATGCATGGCCTTCACAAATAATAAAACAATAAAAAGGATACAACAAGTCAGTTTCTTCAAATCTCGTTCACTATCAACCAACAAGCTATAAAAGGAAATCTAAACCTGCCAGCCCTTATCATAATTACAAAAATAATGCTTCAAGCTACATATAACATAGACACAGCACGGTAACTATCGTCTAATAACAATCTATCACAAGCAAAACATAAAATCATCAAAACCTATACGAAATCACGTCAAAGATAAATATACTAAGCATGGGTGCTTCATTAGTCTTAGCTAAATATTAAAGTTAAAAAAAGCACTACAAAGTTGAGTATTCAGCATCACAGGGGAAATGAAGTGATTTTGTTTCCCAACCTACTCAAATCTTGTAGTAACCTACTTCTGGTTCTGGCTAGGTTTGGTAGTGTGCGGTGAAGCTAGTGAGCTAGCAGACCACATAAATTTTATTATAAATACCACTTAAACCTTGTCAAGAACAAAGTACAAGTAGTGACATTTAGCTTACATTATATAAGAAAGCCTATCACAGGACAAGTGGGGAGACAAAAACCTTTTTTGGACTGTTGGTGATGCATTCTTCAATTTGCAAGCATGACATTTCATCTTTACATGCCACTAATACAATGCCATTGTCGGTGTCTTCACCTTCAGCAAATAATTCTTCCCTTAACATACCTTGCTTTTGTCTTTCCTCTTCTATTTCCTCAAGAACCTCCTGTAATGATATAATCAAATCACGCTTCAGCCTAAAATATCCAACATTCATGATCAAATTCAACATATCAAATCTAATGAAATTAACATTGCCCAGAGACTTTCTAGAATTGGAACTCACTAACTCACACGTAAGACCTTCCACTTTGGTGCTTCTTCCAAAACTTCTTCCAAAACTAAGGCATTCGAACTAGATGATGAAGTACCATCAACTGCAACACAAACATATCCGAAATAAAAATTAAGCTGACAAAAACGCCATCCCTACACTTGGCATGGCAAATCTCATTTACTCTATCCCTTAATTGTTTACATTAATAACCTATAGAATTAATCAACGCAACAGATCAATCATAGTAATAATAGCTTACCTTCTTCTATGTCTTTGTCATCACCCTTGCTTTTTCTCTTTTTGTTTTTTACACCCTTACTCAACTCATTAAATTTCATGCCATCCGACCTCACAAGATGAAAAACACGCTTCTTTGCGTAATCAAATATCTTATAGCTCGCCTCCGCAAATATCCAAACAGACCGAAAACTCTCTGACACTCTCAGTGTATCCAAATATTTCAAGTAAGTTACCGCATCATACCTGTCAAGAGGAAGTCACACAATCAGTCCCTATCACAATAAAAGCACTACATTCTTCCGATGAACATTTTAAATCTAAATCCAACACGTTACCAAGGTTACTGAAGCTACTGAAAATATTAAAGATATTACACTTCGCAATTAAAATATCACATGTATATACCCAAATATGAAGCCATTTTATCATCACAACACACTATTTGAAAACCAAGCTTAGTATGAAATTTGTAAACACACCTACTTTTTCCTACATCTCTTTTCAACCATATTTCTTACTATGTCTCTTTTTTCTCATCACATCACTTGTTGCATCTGCCACTCTCCCATTTTCTTTTTCGTTTCCATTTCTCACATCCTTTTACATTTAAGCAACCCCAAAATGAGAAGCAAATACTCGTAAGAGTAAATTTGTCTTGCACTAGTTTATAAGCTGTCATCCAGTCATAATTGTCATTTTTAATAAGTTTGTTGACTTTTAGAAAAACTAGAGTATAAATCGTATCGTCCATTATTTCTGATTAATTGACCGTGTAAATTATACTGACGATGCATAGAAATTAAACTCTTATCAGAACAAACTTAATGTTATAGCTTATTAAAGTCCACAAACATGAACAAAACATGCAACGAAAAGACCTGACTAAATAATCCAAAAGTTTCCTCAATGTCTTAAGGTCTGAGACGAGCTGCTTGGTCTTCTTCCCCAAAGTGTGCCAAATTGGATCCAACTGTCGCCTCACAATCTCATCAAATGACTTAAACAACCCATTCTCCACCGTCAAATCCTCCACGTCGACCTTGTTCGTCTTCCTCATCTCTTTCAAACACGCATCCATGACCTCAATAATGGCCTTCTGAATCCCCACCATGTACTTTGTCATCGGCACCCTTATATCCACCACCTCCGGCGGGTCCCTCTCCAGCTCCTGCGACACGTAGACCTGAAACCGTGGCCACAGGTGCAGCTTACGCACGTGCAGGCACTTCATCGTCCGCTCCGCCTTCGCGAACCCCGACACCATCGCGTGCGGCTTGTCGGAGAAAGCGCGCACATACGCTCCGCGGTTGAGCGACCGGAAAATCCGAACGATGAACGCTTCAGTGGACGTCTCGGAGAGAGAGTGCGCATTGAGGACGAGGATGCCAGCTATTTTGGAGGTCGGTAACTTGTTAGTCAAGAGGTCGACGATTAGGATGCGCGGCGTGATGAAGAAGGCATTACCGGAGGAGTAGAGCGAGTGGCGATGATGAGCGGGGAGGTCGGCGGTGATTTCGGCGGGGATCTGGTTGAATTGGGGGTTTAGGGTTTTGAGGTGGAAGGTGATGTTGGATTTGAGTGAAGTGGAGGAAGGATAGAGAAGAAGGAGCGTTCCCTCGGACGAGGAGTGTAGAAGAAGGAGAGAAGAGACGAGTTTAGAGAGAGAGAGACCGGAGGAGAGAACGACGAGACCGCCATTAGAATCTTCTAGAAGCTCTGTGATGATGTGCTCGTGGAATTGAACCATCAAGATTACAGGGAAGGGTTTGCGCGGGGAAACTACACCTCTCAACTGGTTCTGCTCTCACCAATCAACTACCTACTAGTAACGACACTGAACATTAGTTTGGGCTGATCCGGCCCATTAATTCATCTACTCAGTTGGCCCGATTTGTTTAGGCCCATAAAATATCGTTCTGGTTCTCATTTCTTATCATCACGATGAAAGAAAGAGTATATTTTATGTTTTGTTTGGTTGGAGTGATTTGAGTGGAAATGGGAGTGTGGAAAAGGAGGAATTTGAAAAAAATATAGGTAAAATTAAAGTTGTTTGGAAGAATGGAAAGTGAAAGAAAAATTTATGAAAAATTGTGAGTGATTTGATTGATATGAGATATAAAAATTAAAATTTTAATAGATTATTTAAGAAAATTACCATTTTACCCTTGTGTATAAAATAAGGTTAAAATTATTATAAATATAATTTTTTAATTAATTATCCATATTTTAACATTGATTATATATTTGAAAGAAAAAAAAATTAAAAGTGTTTGTAAGTGGAAACAAATTTAAAAAATTAATTTTTTTAAAATAGTTATTTAAAATTATATAAATAAATAATTACAAAATTATTTACATTGCATATCCAAAAAAAATAATTTTGACATATTAAATAAATTATTTGACTAATAATTAAATAATTATAAAATATAAAATAATAATTAATATTGACTAATAATAACAAATAATTATGAAAACTAATAATATAATTGTAAATTATTATTTTAAATAAATATAAAATATAGTGAAAATATAATAATAATTAAATGAAAAATTCATGTAAACTTAATAGTAAAAATATTTTATTATTTAGTTAAAATTTATATTAATATATATTTTTGTCATATTTTTATATTTTCAACATAAAATTAAAAAAAAAAAATATATATATATATATATATATATATATATATATTATAATTACATGTCATAAATTTTAATTATCAAATAATATTAATTAATACAGACATTAGATATTTGACAAACATTACTAAAATTATAAACCTATGCACATGCTCTTCAAACAAATAATTATAATGTTATCGATCCTTTGCAGTCAAGTCCTCGAGTTCAGAAGTTCCCTCGTCAGAATGTACTTCAATAGCAGTATCTCGTCGAAAGGTTTGCCGAGTAGGTCTGCCAAATTCATTGTGATCGAAGAGCTCCTGAATGAATCTTAAAATATTTTGAGGTCTTTATAGCAGATCATTCAATCACTTCCACCCAAGAACATGAACAACTGGGAGAGACGAAAATGTGAGGGCAAGCCAAAAAGTTATCTAACATGTGATTCGGGAGTACACAAATGATTATAACACTAAAGCATAAGTTGCTCGTCATTTAGGTTCATGCCGACTAACATGTCCCATATATCTGACTCGGAATGTTGAAATGTTGATGATCGTCTCATGACATTAACTTGCTCATTAATTAAATCATTTATGCGTTCAATGGCGACCACCTGTCTTTCAGCTATGTCAAATAATCGTTGGGTCAATGTATTACCTTGCCCAAGGTAATCTGTAAATATGTCCAGCCTCATTGTTAGTTTGTCAAATTGACCTTCCATCACATCAACCATAGGCGCTTTTCTTTTTGTGCCCCGAGATGAAGAGGTTCCACCTGAACCAGTAGACGCAACAGATGGCATTGACTGAGCACCCTCAGTAGGATTGTCGGAACTCATGCGTGGAGGTGATCGATAAGTTGTATCAAATCCTGCATCAAAACCAAAGTGAAATGGCTACTCCTCTGGTGTGGGGTCCACATCAACGTTCAAGTCGACTGTTGCCCTTCGAGAACTGATATTCATTCGGGACTGACGCGAAGTTCTTGCCATATGTCTAGTGGCTCGATCAGCACCCCACAATTCTTCCATCAAATCATAATACCTTATAGTTGACAGTTTCCATTTAGCTGCAGAAGGCTTCGCCTACAAATTAATGAGAATGGTTAACACTCGTAATTGTTATGTTTTGCTATATCAACAAATGATAATTCATATAATAGTACCTTGATTAGGTCATCACATACTTCTTGCTCAGCCATAAACCGTTTTGTGATATCATCCCAAGCGAATCCACTAAGTCCATGAAACAAATCATGGACCTCCCGCCATCTATCCTTAAGACTTTTTTGTCGATTTTTAACATTATTTTTCGTTATACCAATTAATCCAGACTGTCTTAGGGATTCAACTATATTATTATACGTTTGGGTTGTCCAACTACCATCAACCCGATTACCCAACCTTGCCTCATGAAGCATAGCAGTCAACAACCGAAAGTCCATGTCATCAGTCCATTTTGTAAACTCGCGCATTACAGTTGACGAATTCGGTGCAATATCCTTTCCTCTGTTCATTTTAAACCTATTGGAAAGATAATATATGTAATTACGATACCAACATATAATTATTATAAATAGATAATCATAATGTAATCGTATTTCAACAATAACAATAGTACATCTCATTAAATATATTGTTACATACAAAATCTAATGACTTTGATAATCTATCTACATTTGATTTGCTATAGTATCTCTTAAGTTTGACCCATCCCTAAAATCCTCTTCCCGAACTTGAGTCGACATATTATCCACATCTTGTTCCATCAACTCTCGATCCACTTCAGCTAACAGTGATTCATCGTTGTCTATCCCTCGAAGAAAATTGTGTAGAATGCAACATGCTAGGACTATATTCGTCATTGTATCAAATGAATAATGAGGCTCTGTTCCACTAGCTATTATAGGAAATCTTTTCTTCAAAACTCCAAATGTTCTTTCAATTACATTTCTAAGAGACGAATGTCAATGGTTAAACAATTCTCGGGGGTTTTGTGGAGCTCGTCGAGAATACTCTTTAAGGTGGTATTTAATGTCTCGATAAGGGGTCATTATGTTTGCTTTTAACATAAATCCAGCATCCCCCAAGTAGTATTTACCTATATAAAATCATTGAAGTTATACTAATTAGAATATTTAAACTAGTTGACTATACACAAAATCCCCATGTTATAAATAATAAACCTTGTGGTATGATAAGACGATCCTCTCTCGTAAGAACATCCTTTAATATTCTTGAATCAGATGTTGTTCCTTCCCACCCTGCTAGAACATATGTGAATTTCATGTCGAAATCACAAGCTGCAAATACGTTTTGTGTTGGCCAATCTTTTCTTCCACGAAAACGAGGAGCATCGGATCTTGCGACTTTAACTCGAACATGAGTTCCATCTATTGCCCCTAAACAATCCTAATTGGTAAAAAAATTTATTGTCATTAAAGTTTAGACAATCTATGTGTATGTTATATAGACACAAAGTTGGAAAGTAGATTACCTTAAAGTATGGGTAAAATCGGTTGTTGTTTAATATATACGGACACACATCCCTTCCTGATGGTTGAACAATTAACTGTTCGTCCAACATTATTATCGCATTAAACACGTTATGAAAGTGTCGACTAACGGTTTCACCTGATCGATGGAAAAAAAATGAAACAGTTCGATTTTTAACGTTATGTCCGATAATATGGAGAAATTTAGCCACTTGTTCTTTCACTGTTGATTGTAACTCATCGTTTATTAATCCAGTTGTCCTTACTCGTTGACACAAGTTAATGAACGTCTCCGGTCCCATGCGAATAATGTCACGAGATTGTTCAGTATGAATAAGGTATGACATCAACTCGTGCCGACGACGTTCTTTTTCAGAAATAAAGTCCCTAATGTTACCGCTACTACAACTTACCATAGACAACATATTTAATCCATAAGCTATCAAACAAAGAATTGTCATCGCTCCTATTTCGCTTCGCTTTTTTATCTCACTTTGTATATGTGAAATTATGTTTATATCCAGACCAGTATCTATATCGTCATTGTCTAAACCAATGACCTCGATGTTTTTGTCTGCCATCTGCAAAATATAAAATAAATATATATATATATATATATAATTAATGTTTAATGGAAGTAATTCAAAATTGCCATCTACAAACCAAGTATCACAAAACCAAAAATTATTTACAAAACTACTAATAATTTTTTTCCTCTAATATTTTTACTTCTTTTTTAACAAATTCTCATTTTTATAAATTTTTTTCTTTTCTCAATTTTACATACTCCATTTATTATAAAAATAATAAATTTATTTTTTAAATATAACTATATTTAACTTTTTTTCCTTATTTAATTATGCATTAATAATGTACTGTCCTAATTTTTACTAAATTTTTTTCATGTATCTCTCAATTATTTTTTTCTTTTCAGTATATATAAAAAAATTCAAAATTTCCATATAATAATTATAATTGCAAAAACAGGGATTTTGGTTCCGAGTTTTTCGTTCCAATTTTTGTTTCCATCATTCCCAGTTTTTGCTTTCAAGATGCATATGCAGTAGCTACCAATTTTTACCTCAACCATGCATGGAGTACAACACCAGGTAGAACCGGTTTCAGGTTGCAACCATGGAAAACAACATATGAACCATACCTGTGGGAGAAGATATGAACGAAACTCTTTGTAGGACAAGTTGACGGTGAACTTGACGGTGCCCCTAAGATAAGGCCTGCAACAACAACATAACCAATGCACAAGTCAAAAACCATGGTCGTATGGTGCCCATTTTTTGTTGGAGTGGAGGAGGTTTGGCCATGTTTTATACCTCAAATCTGAATGGTCACACACACTCTTATGCATGAACACAGACTCCAAAAACAAACGTACCAACCAAGTTTGAGGTTCCAACCATGACAAAGAAGACACAGAACCATATCTGGAGTGTTCCTCCGACAAGATACCAAGCAAGTTGTTGGTGGGACAAGGTCACACCGAAGTTGATGGCCGCCGCACTACTACAAAATATGCTTTCAACGTCGCCATTTAACGTCGGTTCAAGCTGAGCCGACGTTAAATACACTTTCAACGTCGGTTGGTTAAAAAACAACGTTGAAAGATGAATGTTGGGCACATTCTACGTCGGTTCTTAGTTAACCGACGTAGAAAACAATTTCCACGTCGGTTCTAGATGAACCGACGTTGAAAGTCTTTTTTTTATTTTTATTTTTACTTATTGATAGCGGTTATAAAGGAACCGCTATCTAAAGTCGACTTTAGATAGCGGTTCTAAGGGAACCGCTATCTAAAGTCGACCTTATGATCGATCATTTCAAGTTATGATCGATCAGAATATTATTTCGCTCGAGCGAGGGCAGTGTCGCTCAAGCGAAATGCAACCCGAGAATGCTAATTTTGTGCAGGGGGCTTTTCGCTCGAGCGAGAAGGGTGTCGCTCAAGCGAGATACACTTTAGATAGCGGTTCTAAGGGAACCGCTATCTAATGTCGACTTTAGATAGCGGTTCTAAGGGAACCGCTATCTAATGTCGACTTTATGATCGATCATTTCAAGTTATGATCGATCAGAATCTTATTTCGCTCGAGCGAGGATAGTGTCGCTCAAGCGAAATACAACCCGAGAATGCTAATTTTGTGCAGGGGGCGTTTCGCTCGAGCGAGAATGGTGTCGCTCAAGCGAGATACATTTCAGATAGCGGTTATGACCGATCGAACTATTTTAATCGATTAAATCTCGTTTCAATCGATTAAAACAGTTCTGCACAGCGTTTTAATCGATTAAAACTTATTTTTATCAGTTAAAATTACTTGAAAAGTTTTACGAGAAAGTTTTGCAAGTATTTCAATCGATTGAATCGCGAAACAATCGATTAAATCAACTTAGAATATTTTTTGTAAAGTGTTTTAATTGATATAAACGTTGTCGTACGTATCAGCTTAAAACAAATCTGTTTTAATTGATATACATTTTTGTAAAGTGTTTTGATTGGGTGTTTTGGTCACTCGATTTGAGATTCAAGGTCATTGGGTTGGATTTCAAGCTTGAGGTCAGGTCATGCATGCTCGGGTTAAAGATCTTGGAAGCTGAATAGAAGGGTGGAGGATTGGGGTTGGAGAGACGAAGGTGATTAAACTCGAACAATGGTGGATAGTCACTGGTACAAGGTCGAAAAGAGGGAGTGAAATTGTGAGCGGGAAGGTGAATTTGGGAGGGTCTGTCAAGCATGAAGAACACAAAATTTTGGAGGATTATCGATGCGAAGAAGATGAAAGTACTGGGTTTATTTGTATATATTTACACGGATATATATTTATTTGTATATAAATATAATTTATTCGTAAGTTATTATCAAAAAATTCAAGTAGTTTAGTGGTTGGAGTATCGACCTCCAACTCTAAAGTACTCGGGTTCGAATCCTGCCAATGACAATTCTCTTAAAAATTAAAAAACTTCTAAAAAATATAATATAAAGAGATGGAGAACCTAATAAAAATATAATAGGAAGAGAGGGGAGACTTCTAGATAAATAAAAGGGGGGTAAAGGGGTTGTAAATAAATAAAAATTATTAATTTAAAAAATCATACTTTCAACGTCGGCTTTTAAGAACCGACGTTGAAAGTCGACATTAGATAGCGGTTCTAAGGGAACCGCTATCTAAAGTGTATTTTTCAACGTCGGTTTTTTTGAACCGACGTTGAAAGTTACGACTTTCAACGTCGCCTGATACAACGTCGGTTATTAAACCGACGTTGAAAGCCTTCCAGAACCGACGTTGAAAGCTTTATTTGTAGTAGTGTCGGCGAAGATCCAACCTACAACACAAATACAAACAAATGAATCTCACGTATGACAAACCATGAATCCACGTTTATGGGGCTCCAAACAGGGGCGCAACCACAAGGCCCACCCTCGCCGCCTGAGATGGTCATGCAGAGGTTGTCGTGGAGCTGTTTTTTGGCTCCTACACCATGCGCCACGCAGAGATTATTGTCGCCATGCATAGCTGATTGTGGAGGGGGATTATGGACCTCTTCTCATGCATGCACACGACTGCAGTTGCACCCACGAGGCCCACCATGGCGGCCGGAGAGGTGCCCACCGAAGGAGAGTTTGGCGCCAGAACGACGAGGTAGTCATGGTTGAAAGGAAAGGAGACACTTACCTATGGTTCCAAGGAGCTCTAACAAAGACAGAAGTTGGAGAAGACGAGGATCTTAAACACTCTCACGAAGGCAACTCAAAACTCAGTGCAACTCACAGGAGCTAACTGAGAACACGACTCACAAGGGTTAACTGAGAACATAGTAGGGTGTTGTTCCCTTTCCCGGAAGAAAGAGAAAGATCCCAAGAAAAAGGAAGTAGGCTTCGGTTCAATCTGGGATCAAACTATCCTCTTTTCTTTAACTGTGTCAAGTCACTTCTCTGATTGGTGGGAGACTCTTGTGAAGTAAAGAATGTTTCCGAACCGAAGTCTCACTCCAAGCTTTGGCATATGGAATAGAGTCTTTTAGCTAGTCTTATGAGACTAGCTTTGCTTTATATAATACAATAATTTTCCCTATCAGTTGTAACTAGAGAAGAAAGAATAAGTCCTATAACTACGGGATTTGGTTCAAGTTCTATCAACTGTGAACACGTGAAGCTGTGAACACGTGAAGTTGGTTGTACAGCCCGTGACCTCTGCATGTACAACTCGTGACTTCGTTCATGACTTACCTCCTTCTCTCGTGTTATTCATGCATGTTCTTTCGCTCCAAGGTCAGTGCAGAAATATTTTCTACGATAGCACGTATTCGTTTTTTAATTACTCAAATAGCATATTGTAGGTTTTATTTACCTAGATAACACAGCTTTTTGTTAAGTTGTTTTTTTAATTTTTTGATTTATTTGATATTATAATTTTTTTAGAAATTAATAATAAATTAGGAGGATAATAAAAATCTTAAAAATTATATATATATAAGAAGAAATAATATTTTGATGTAAAATTATATATATATATATATATGTATATTGTAAAATATAATTTATATTAATTACTACAATATAAAATATATATTCCAAAATATAACTTATTTTCATTTATATATATATATTATAGAAATTAAAATAAATTATATTTTAGAATATATAATTTTTCAAATAATCGATTACTTTTTCGGATAATCGAGATTTTAGATAGCGGTTCTAGAAATAACCGCTATTAAAAATATATATTAGATAGCGGTTAACGTGGAACCGCTATTATATGTTCACTTTTAAGAGCGGTTAAAATGTCAACCGCTCTTAAAAGTGACACATATATGATAGCAGCTCCACTTTAACCGCTCTTAAAAGTAACATATAATAGCGGTTCCACGTTAACCGCTATCTTAAAATTTATTTTTAATCGATTATATTTTCAAATAATTGATTATAATCGATTATTTTTAAATAATCGATTATATTCGATAATTTTTCTAAATAATTAATTATAATCGATTAGTTTTTTAAATAATTGATTAGTTTTTCAAATAATAGATTATAATTGATTAATTTCTCAAATATATATTAAAAAATTATAAATAAAAATTTATATTAAATTAAAATTAAAAAAATTATTTATCAATTATATATTATAAAAATTATAATTATATAATTAAAAAAATCATATTTATAATTATAACTTTAAAAAAAATTATAACTATAAAATTAATGTTAAATAAATTATATATATTATATAAATTATAATTATATATAGATATATTACTTAAATTAAAAACTTTAAATTAATTAATATATATATATATATATATATTTTGCATAAATTAGAATAATAATTATCAACTTGAAAATAATTTATATTTAATATATATATATATATATATATATATATATATATATTCTAAAATATAATTTATTTTAATTTCTATAATATATATATATATATATATATATATGTATATATGAAAATAAGTTATATTTTGGAATATATATTTAATATTATAGTAATTAATATAAATTATATTTTAGATATATATATATATATATATATATATATATATATAATTTTACATTAAAATATATTCAAATAATCGAGATTTTAGATAGCGGTTCTAGAACTAACCGCTATTAAAAATAGATTTTAGATAGCGGTTAATGTGGAACCGCTTATTATATGTTCACTTTTAAGAGCGGTTAAAATGTTAACCGCTCTTAAAAGTGACACATATATGATAGCGGTTCTACTTTAACCGCTCTTAAAAGTAACATATAATAGCGGTTTCACGTTAACCGCTATCTAAAATCTATTTTTAATAGCGGTTAGTTCTAGAACCGTTATCTAAAATCTCGATTATTTGAAAAAGTAATCGATTATTTAAAAAATTATATATTCTAAAATATAATTTATTTTAATTTCTATATATATATATATATATATATATATATATATAAAAATAAGTTATATTTTGGAATATATATTTTATATTATAGTAATTAATATAAATTATATTTTAGAATATATATATATATATATATATATATATATATACATAATTTTACATCAAAATATTATTTCTTCTTATATACATATAATTTTTAAGATTTTTATTATCCTTCTAATTTATTATTAATTTCTAAAAAAATTATAATATCAAACAAATCAAAAAATTAAAAAAATTTAATCATACAAATAAATTTAAATATAATATTTAATAATTATGACGGAACGAGGGAGGGGCAACTTCGTCTTTTCCTTTTTTCGACGTGACTTTCCTCTTCTTTCTTCCCATATGAGAGGGAAGAGCTTAAAAGGAATCCCGCATTTCTTTTCTTTTCATTCTGCATAAATCTATTTATTCAAACACAACTTCTCCTTCTTTTCTGTCCGTGTAAACAATTTTTCGTCTCAATGAAATGGGGCATTAGTGAAAAAAAATATGTTTAATTTTAGGATTAGAAAGACAAAAGAAAGAAATGATGGTAAGATCAAAATTACAAATAAGTATTAACCGCAAATTATGATTTTTAATTTTATATAGCTTCCATGGCAAGATCAAAATGATTAATATCCTTGTTTAATCTAATTTTAAGAAGCCGTACATTAGATATCATTGGGTTAGGTTAGGTTAGGCTTTTTGGGAGTTTTAGCAACGTGCGAGGACCCAAAAAGCACGTGAAAAACAATAGCAGTACTTCTGCAGGTGGGGTAAGCTTTTTGGCGTTTCCAAGGGAAGCACATAACACGTGGTGGAATTTTCAAAGCTAAGGGAAAGCAGACAGACAGCAAACAAATGAAGAAAGAAACGATGTAACAACGCAAGTTGACCGGACACACCAGCTGACCTGTTCCTTTTGTACCAGATGCATGCAGTGCAGCTGTCCTTCAAAAGTTACAACACAAAAATAAACCTAAAATTACGCACATGTATTCCTCGTGCCTAAATTTCATCACCCCTATATAAAGTATAGAATGAAGATAAGGGTCAAGCTCATCACAACCAGTGCTCTATCTTCCCTCTCTCACCCACCTTCTCCATTGGTAAGAGAAGTTTTAATACCGGCTCACTTGTTATCACTCAGTTTCTCAGGATGGATCCATGGAACCTTTCAACTTCCAAGTTACTCTCTAAACAAGTTGCTTACCCTTCTCATCTCTATGCCGAAGAGATTCCCAACATGGGAAATTCCAGGTACCATTCTTTTGCTTCTTCAATATGTTCCTAATCTTATTAAGTCCTCCATGACTTCATGGCTTCTCTTAAATAAGTAATTAATGTATGACTTTCCATCATGTGTGCAGTGGTGTGACCAAGGAGCCTACAGGTTCACAGATGACAATCCTTTATGGTGGCCAAGTTGTTGTCTTTGATGATATTCAAGCTGACAAAGCCAAGGACATCATGTCTTTTGCTATCAAAGGAATGTCCCAAAACCAGAACGACTATGCTTACTCGTTCCCTGCTGCAATTTCTGCTACCTCCAGTAGACCGTTTCCTTTTCTTATGAGTATAATTCCTTCCATTGCCAACACTTCGGTTCAGGAGCACCCTCAAGCACCATCCAAATCTGTTATATGTGGTAATTTTTTTTTTTTTCATTTCTATTGTTTCAGTAGATGGGAGATTTTTGTGTCGGTTTATGTAATTCTTATCCTTGCTTTGTGCTTCATTTTATTCAGATCTACCTTTGGCTAGGAAAGCTTCACTTCATCGGTTTTTGGAGAAAAGAAAGGATAGGTAAGTGGGCTGAGTCATGGAAATTAATGCACCAATAAAAGTACCTTTAATTTTGTTTGAATTTGGTTTTAATCCTACATTTTAGAAATTTGAGGACTAGAAAGGTGTTTTTTAAAACTAAAGCCAATTTTGATCAAACTTAGGAACGGAAAATAGATTTTACCTTTTTTTTTAACTATACAGCTTTGGATTAATTGAGTTATATATTATTAATGTTTCTGCAGAATTGCTGCCAGAGCACCATATCAAACAAGCAAACAAATGGCAGCCCTTAATAAGCCATCTGAATCTATGCCATGGCTCACCTTGGCACCTAAATCACCACAAGATGAATCTGATTCTGATAGCAGCTCCAGCTTTGTGTTATTTTAACTACTTTTCCTGTACAAGGTGAAGAAGATTGCAGTATCATATGAGCCGTGGAAACTTCATTCGGATGAGAAGGAGGACTTCGTGGTAGTTGTTATTTGATAAGCGGAATCAACAGTTTACGGGCTTCTCTGTAGCCCTACGATGATTTTTTGCGGGTCTATGATCAATGTTGTTGACCATGCTTACTATTATCATAATTAAGAGTATAAATTTGGACAAAAAAGTACTGTAAATGTAGTTTGGTTAGCATAGTTTTGGTATAATATTGAAATCAATTCTTCTCAATTCTCACTATCACATATATTGGAAGTAAAATTTATGGTTAAAATTATCTATTTGTTGTGATCACAGTCAGTTTGATATAATTCATTTGGTTTCCTATTAATATGTAAGCCATACGTAATCGCATTTCAGCATATTCAATTGTTCCTCTCGTGCTCTTGCATGTCTCGTCTCAAATTATCCTACTTCCTGCCATGATTCAGAGAATGAGGTATAGCGAGCTGTAATATGAATAACAGTCAAAAAATTTGAAATGTGAAATAGTAGTATGTGTGCAATCATCATTGTTCCTCCGAAGATTTCTTCCACTGACATAAAAGCTTTGTATTCCCTCTTTTATTGTCTTTCTCAATTTAATATCATATACTGGAATTACGGGAAACATGATTCAAAAAAGTAGTAATAAAGATAAGATAAAATGAAGAAAAAGTTTAGTCAAAACAAGAGTGAAGTAAATTACACCAAAAGTTAATTATAAGCTTTGAAACCAAAAAGAATTGCAATCTACATGGATGCACAGCTTGTTTCAAATTTAATCTATGAGGCTTTTCTTGATTCTACGGAGCAACAGGGGAACAGGTTTTTCCAAAACCGTCACGTTGACATTGTTCCACACATCAGCTATTGTGGGGAGTGTAGAGATTTTCTCAGCAATATGCATGTCTTCTGGAAGAACAGAACCAAATACAGTGTATTCATTTTTCCACTCTGAATGGTCAGCAAGGCTAATAAAGAATTCAGGACCAGAAGCAATCCAAGCAACAGAGCCCCTTCTAAGGGTTGGACAATCTTCAACAGGAAGTTTATTGAAAGGCGTGCCTTGTGCTTCTAGTGTCCCTTGAATTAATGCATAAGGGGGACCAAAACCAGCCTGCAAATGAGGACCATAACCATTTATTTGTTATGCAATCTAACATACAACATTATTGCTTGCATCTAACATACAACATTATTGCTTGCACTGAGAACGCTACTCTGAATATGCAAATAACTTCATTTTTTCCCTTGGGAAGAATAATATGTGAATGGCCTCAGCTCGAGATGATAATCATTTCTAACCTCATAAATTTGTTTGGAAAAAAAATAAAAAACAAGTTTTCCATATTAATTGAAAAGGTTACATCTAGTTTTGGTCTTTGAAAATATCATATATTTTAATTTAATCCTTTAAAATTGTAAATATTATGTGTTAGGAACTTGCATAATATGGGATGTCAAAGTTTCATTTCAAGAATTATGAGCTTCTCTATGCATGCTAAGTGACTTTAATCAATTTTTTTAATGGATGAGAATGAGTTTTAATGCAGAAATTCATAACATAATTTGCACAGAGAACAGCATAGTGAAATAGATGTGTGTGTGGGCATCCAATCATCCATCAGATGGGAAAATCTAATCAGTCTTACATTTTCTATATGGTTTCCTTGTGAATCCCATGATTGACCTCGGCTCTCTGCTCGGTAAAATTGGCAGCCAGCACAATGGTGCAAAGACAACAGTTCTAGAATGTAGGCCACAGAGTGTGGAGCGCAGTCAGGTAAAAGCTGCAGTGAATAAAGAATCTCCCAGAGTTAAACAAATTCCTCATCATGACTCGGCAATTTCAAAATACAAAGCAAAAGGGATTCTTAGTGTAAGCAGAAACAAGATCAGTCAAGAAACATCAGGTATTAACAGAAAATAAGATGAAGTAAGCAGAACTAACATCAAGGATTGACAGAATGTCAAGAACCATGAGCATCCCACTTCATAGTCAATGAACTCTGTAATTATTTATCTCAGCAAAGACAGAAAATTTCTTACTTTTCTAGGAATAAGAATACTCCATCTTCTATGTCATCTATTAAAATTGTGAGTTTCTCCATAATTATCCAGTAAAGGTTCAACTAATCCATCATATTTGTTAAAACAACACGGGAAATATGCATTTGTATTTTAGAGGCCTTGCGAGAATGAGCACTTCACTTACTTTAATATGTAGAGTTCCATGTTCAGTTTCCAGTCCAATAATACCCTGAAAATAGATGAATTAGAAAGAACACTGATAAATAAGATAACACCTCGCAGGTCGATAAAATTCCAAATACGTACACATCACAAGGAGGTGGAATAGATATAACTATCAATGCCAAGAGAAGACAATTTTACAGCATAAGTAATTAGCCAAAGATCCAACTAATCACATAACAGTTGACATAAGTTAGTTCACCACTTACATAGTCTTCTGTCTCAATTTATTTTTCATCTAAGTTGGTGCTCTACTTATATACAATGTCTATCTCATTTTATTTGTAATTTAAGTTAGTGTTTTACTTGTATTCTCTCTCCATCTCATATTATTTGTCATTTAAATTCTCTACTTACCTACTATCTCTGTCAAACTTGGATTTCAGGTTATGTATCTCACGAGTTGTCCCTCAAATGATTGTGCAAAATAACTTACTTTCTATTCATAGAATTTTATATTTAAAACCATATTGTGTTTATTGGGTGCTGTCATGAACCACAATAAAATTAAATCTCAACCCCCCAGGCTTAATGCTAAGACATTGCTACAAAAATTGAGTGTGTTCCAAGTCAAAGCACACTAACATAAATAGCAATAGCTCATGTGAACGACTTGGTAGGTGGCTACAAGTGTTTCTCCTCATCCCTAGTGAAACCCTTCCCCATTCCTAGTATCCAATGTAATCCACTATCTATGCCCATTTGCTAAACCTGTCTCACTGAGTCAACCTTCCCTCACTGCTTCAATCAGATCCATATTGTACACTCACAATACAGAATCAACTAAATTGTTGATGTAGAAAAGACTGGGAAAAAAACTTACTACAAACAGCAGAAAGACATGCATTTTGGAGATAATTAGCATCAAAACTCATTCAAGAAACAGTTGACAATTTTGTTTTGGGTTCAGGTTGAACAAGAACAAGCAAGCATATCACACACTAGTTCAATGTAAACACTTCTACAACACAACGATCATCAAATCAAATTTGCAACTAAACTGACAAGCATCGTTTTAATAAACATAAAAATGGAAATACCAAACTTCTGTCTTACTTCTCCTTTCCCAAAGATAAGACCAGAGGTCCAACCAACCACTTCCCCAAGAGGAACTCCTTCTTGCCGTTCAGGTGACAAGCTGTCCTTCTGTTTCTTCAACCAACACTGAACCAACAAAACCGAATGCTGTTATGCTATGAATTCCACGTTCCAGGTCAAAATTTTGATCAAAAGAATAATAACTTTTATAGAAGTCCTCCTTTTTTATGCTTAAGAAATGCTCTCTGTCTTTAATTAAAAATCTCCCATTTAACTTTTCAAGGTGACAAGGAGATTTTAACTTACAGAAAAGTTCAAGGCATTTTGTTTTATTTTCTTCTCCTATGGATACTTAATAAAGGAGTTTGCAAGTCAACTCTAAATAGCCAGAATGAATCCATAAAGATCAACCCAATTGGAAGATATTCATAAGCTAAGGCAACCGCAAACAAACTGATCCATCAATTTACAAGAAAAAAAAACATTTATTTATTTTCTTCCAGAGATGTTTATCCATAAATTTTATCTAATTACACACCAATTAACTTACCTCACCGAACTTGGATCCACAGGCCCTACGATTCCCACAAAAGACCCAAGTATCACAGAGACAAGGCCCATCTTTCCCTGAACACATAGATTTGCATGCGTTGCAGCATCCTTCAGAATTGTTGAACTTAAACTCAGAACCCCACTTAACAGCTGCACCCCAAAGCTCCAAATTCTCAATCCCCCTACAGCACGCTCCCTCATTCTGCACCGCCTCTTCAACCAACCTCCCAAACTCTGAAACTCTGTTTCTGCCGTTTGCGAGCACCGCAGAGAGAAGCGCGTAGACCAAACCGCACGAGGCGAAACACACCAAGGGGAGAATCAAACGGTGAGAGAGAAAGGAGTTTAGTTCACTGCTCCTCCGACCCATTGGACAGTTTAGCAGGAAAAGGATAAACTTGTAAGAAATTGAGTCAGGAAAATACAAAGACCAAGACCGTTGACCTCGAAACGAAAGTGGGAAACAACAGTGGCAGTGAAAATGAAATGGAAGAGAGAATGATCATGTCATGCCGTGTGGTGATTCAAAAGCATAGAGTGAAAGAATTGGTGCAACAGCGTTTGGAACGGGGTGCTTGGGGTTCAGAGTTCAGATCGAATGCATTTTTGTCCTCATTTTGGTCCCAGTTGAGTCTTTGACTACATTACAAACTGAACGTGATGTCCTGTTTTTGTTGATTTCGATTCGATGCTGATATCAAACATTAAAGAAAACCAGAAACTGCTGAAATAATTGACCTCCATAATTAGATAAATAAATTGATTGAAATTAAAATATAATAGAAAAAATTATATTGTCAGTCGAATAATATAACTCAAAAAATGATGAACCATTAATCTATCTATATTCAAGTTTCTACAACTGAAACAAAAAGTAGGAGATGCTCTTGTATTTAAATAATAATATTTTTGCTCAAATTGAGAGTGATAAGATGGTTACTTTTTTATTATTTTAATCATAGCCTAACATGTTTGGTAAATAATTATTTTTAGTTTTTTTAATTTCTCAATAAACTTTTTATCAAGATATACTAATTCCAATATCTAAATACGCAGGATGATAGGGTATGAAATAATAATATAAACAAATTAAATTATTTAGAAATTATTAAAATTTGAATTCTTATAAGCTAGATGAAGCTCATTATTTGAAAAATCATCTTTAAAGATTTTTTTTAAAATAAGTATCCGAAAGTTCATCACTTTTAAAATTCAAATTTTGTTACATCAAGTCCTTTTATTAATTAGTAGCCAACTTGTTAAGAATGAGTATATTCAACAGTTGAACATTTTTTATTGAACAATTATCATATTGTCCATGTGGTCAATTTACTAAATAATGAAAAATAAAAAACACAGAAAAATGAATCAAGTCCTCTTTTACTTGCACAACACTTCACAAGCATTTTCTCTGAAGTGGTCGTGACTCTGCCTTCATTCTTCACACATTGTACATAACTCATATGGTTCATTGCAAAGTAATACCTCACTTTATATCTTTCAATGATGCGAATTATTGTAAGTGATGGAAAATAAACAAAATTTGCATTTCATTTGGTATTTTAGAAAGTGTAAACATACCGTGGAAGTGATACAAAGTGTTCCAAACACGGGTTATATATACCTCACACACGAATAATGCATAGTCAAATTGGTAAACAAAATTATATATATATATTTAGAATCTACCCAACCACAAATTACTCAAGCAAGGGCTAGATATTTGGCAAAGTCATCATTAACTTCTTCAGTAGCCTCATCAGCAAGCACAGGATTCGACGATCCTGTGGCAGTTTGGTCATAAGTGTGGATTTTTGTCCTTGCTTCTTGTACGATCCGCATTATTTCTTCCACACTTTGGCTTGGTTGGTCCTTTTGAGTTTCCTCGTGACCCCTTCTTTCAGCCTCAATTATCTCCCTTGGTAAGTTCTTCCTAAACCAAAGGTGCTGTTTTATCTCCGAGATGCTGATCCTCTTTAATAAGGATGAAAATAAAGACAAGGAGATTCTCAATATACGAGAAACTAATTCTTATAAAAACCATATCAGTTGAATACCATAGGCAAGATCATCAACAAAATGAATAAATATTTTATATGAACAACTTTCATGATTAAAAAGCGCTTTTTAACTTTTTATTATGACAATTTGAAGGTGAACTATGAATTAAGTTAGGTACATTACCATGTAGCAAAGTGTTAGCAACTTAAGACAGAGCATGTGAAATTGAGAAAATAGTCGAAGCTATGGCGATCAATACTTACCTTGGCAGGATTGGCAACAAAAATACAAGAGATAAGATGTCTACACTCCTTAGAAACACGTACGTAGTCGGGTATGGCGTATTGAACGCTCATAATTCTCTGCCAACGAGAGAATCAGAGTTTAAACTTGCTGCTATAGATCAAAGGTATTAATCATAAAGGATCTCTTTTAAGTCAAGTAAGAGTTCACCCCAATACTCTTTCTGAAATTTTTAGGATCTTCTGGATCTTCAAATGGGTATGCTCCAACTAACATCACATAAAGAGTCACACCACAAGACCAAACATCTGCAATCTACACAATTGCCAATTTGTGAGCATGTTTTGACAATTCCCATGAACTGTTTACTTGATGTGATACAGTGAGTTTCACTTGAAATAGTTATTAAGCACGGTTCACCATACCTTTCCATCATATTCCTTTCGTGACAAAACTTCTGGAGCAATGTATGCAGGAGTTCCAACTGTTGACTTGGGTTGAGAGTGCAGCAAAGCAGACTGCATTTGAATATTGGATTGAATACAGAAGTCAACAAACAGATATATGAAAGGACTACTCCATAAAGGTTCATTTTGGTGAGATGTTATTATTAACCTTGGAGAAACCAAAGTCACAAATTTTTAGTCTAGGAGCTGGATTTCCGTCCAGTAGAGTGTTTTCCAATTTCAGATCTCTATGGCATATTTGCTGCAGTAGGATACGTAAGATGATATTATATTGCACAGGGCTTTAAATGAACAACAAAAAAACTTCTGAATTCGTATATACCATGGAATGACAATAGCTAACTCCAGATATTAGTTGCTGGAAGAAAAATCTTGCCTACGATAAAGGGAATTCATCAAAACCATCACTTGATAATTTATACTTGTAGAGAATATTACACACACACAACCAAGTGATCAACCTCATCTTCACTCAATCGACCAGCATTGCATATCCTCTCGAAGAGTTCACCACCAGCAGCATACTCCAGGACAATTGCCAAATGAGTAGGGGTCAGAAATACCTGCAGAAAAAATCTGACTTCCAGAATCTCAATAGAATACATCGTATTTGTTTAATCTTAGCCCCACAAAATGCTTGAAACTCAAATGGTGTATTTTTCCCCCTAACAAAAATGTCACAAGCAAGATAACAGGATATAGCTACACACCACATTATGAGTTGCACCTGCATTTCTTTATGAGTCAGTAACATCCAATGAACTACACAGTTTTCTTTTTTTTTTTGTTTCTCTATATTTATAATCAAGTCCGAAGAAGTGTTTTTATTAAGGCTGTAAAAGCATAAAATGCAGACAACTGTAAAAAAAAAATTCAATATGTCAATTGCATAACTTGAAAAAATCCTACTGAAGGAACAGCTTGAGTACCGAAACAAACTCTTACCTCTTTGAACCTAATAATATTTGGATGCCTTAGAGATCGATGGTTTACTATCTCCCTTTGAACATTCGCATCAATCTGATACCACAAACACAACTTACTCAGAGGAATGTGAGATGAGAAGGAATTTTGGAAAAAAAAAAATTATTAGAAAACAAAATGTGAGGTTGATCTGAGGATAAGGAAAGATCAGGTAACATAAGCTGATTATTTTCGATGAATTCCTAAACAATAGTGCTGCTGCATCTGGTGAAGTAAGCTAATTAAGCTTGATAAATAAAATCTGACTTTTATGGTCACAAAAATGAAATCTATCACATATCAGCTTCAGGTGGTGAGTCTGATTTTCAAGCTGTGAACAAAAAAATTGATAGATATTTTTCCAACACAATGAGATCGGCAAAGGATCAAGGCACTAGATTGTATCTGGAAATTGATGTGAATAGAGTTTTCGCAAATGACAGACAAAACAAATTCAGAATGGAAAGCAGAAGAGAAATCTGGATAAGTCAAATCAAATTCAGATTTCTCCAGGAAAAAATGAATGATAAATGTTTCATAAAATTTCATGCATACCGAACCTTTTTCCCCCTTTCTGTGTATTTGATGGCAACAAGCTCCCCTGTCTTCTTGTCTTTGGCCAACCTTGCTACTCCAAAGTTCCCCGAACCAAGCTCCTTAAGAGTCTCGTACCGTTCTTCTTCCATATCCTCTCTCACAAAAGCCTCAAATCAGACCAAAACTTTTCACAGTAGAAGACCCAAACAAGGAAACGGCTTTTTATACACACTATCACCTTACATTAAAAGTCCAATGAGGCCAAATATAATAAACAGTTATTCAAGGAACACAAAGAAGACTTCAAATTAAATTAAAAATTAAAATAAAATGGAAGATGAAGAGGGAAGGAAGCATGTGCAGTTGTCATCAATGGTGAAACGGAAAAGAGTTAAAACTCCATTAACTGAACTCACCCTCTACCTCAGTTGTTCTTGAACTGTAAAAGCAATTTATGTTCATTAAGTTGCGGTATAAATTCTTAGTCTTGAGTATCAAGTATGGTGATGAGGTTTGATCAAAACAGTGTAAAAGACAAGGACTTTATTCAAAAGGAAAAAGTAAAGTTTACTTCAAGAGAAATTAGACACTACCACCTAGCTAACTCTCTATTTCAACATCCTTGTTCACACCAAAGATAAGGACTGGCATTTATGTGTGATTGTTACATAAATAGAGGTACCACTAGATAGCGATTTATTACATACCAAAAATTCTTAATGATTGGTAACTCAATGATGATTACACCAAGCAACATATGTCTTGGAGAAATAATGTTAATATATATATATATATATATATATATATATATATATATATATATATATATATATAATTCTAGTGTATAATTGTTATACAGACAAAATGCATAAAAAGAGAATGACCAATATTGTTTTATAAAAATAAAGATGAGAGAAATGTAAGATAGGTATAAAACAATAGGTTGCATTACATTTATTAAAAAAATTAACAAATGAATTGTTATGTGTTATTGATATAAAAGAATTATATTATCATCTAAAATTTTTGAAATATCACAAAAACTAAATCATAGAATATAAAATAAATGTGAATTTAATTTTACAAATTTATCTTATAAGATTGATATATTATATTTATATTTACTTTTTAATGTGATAGTAAAATTTATATCAATAATATTTATTAAAATGAATAATGTTTAATTCCAATACACCTCTTATATTAATTATATATATAAATTAAGGTGGTAATTGTAAAAGTTAACATTTTTATTTATAAAACCAAACTTTTTTTTCTCATTATTTAAAAGTCCCTTTTTTAAGCATTTTTAATACCATCCAAGATGAATCAGACCTGCCACCAACTGCAAGTAAAAAAAAATTAACAAGTTTTTGTTTTCACTCAAAAGAGTTGAATATTATAGTTAATAATGATAGTTGGTTTATTTTTAAAATATCCAATTTTGATATTTGATTTTATGTACTAGCAGAAATAATGTGTTATCGTAAGTTGAGATATAATTATATTGAGATTAAATGTTTGTTAATATGGCATATTAATTGGTTCATAAGTTTTATATTATTTAAAAATTAAATTTAAGATAATATATATATTAATCTATTGAAACATTTAATTTTTCTTGAACTATACAATTATAAAATAAAGAAAATAAAAATGTTTTATGCGTGGGCGTCGGCTGGAGTGGATCGCATGATGAAGTCACTTTCCTTTCGGACTTTGGAGAATAACTACACAGCACTGGTCCCACTTGATCAACTTTCTTCTTATGAATTTTTCATAATATTTTCTTATAAACATTTTTTTATTTAATCAAAAATTAAATTTATTTACAACTTCAAGATATTGAATATATTAACATACTTTAATGGCTAAAATATATTTTTAATATCTAATTCTAATATATCTGTTAATGGATGTTACAAATTATTTTTATCATTTATTTTTTATGAACAAAATACTTTGTGTAAGCTATAAGCATAATGAATCTAATATTATTCTTATCATGTATATTACTTCTGATAAATCTTGGGGGTGGTGAGTGGTGAGCCACCAAAATAGGTTTTTGAAAAATAAATAAATATTTATTTATCTTTGCTAAATTATAAATATTTTCTCTTGCCATTATTTAACGTTTTACTTTATTTTTAAATTAAAATAAAAGAATTAATTGCTATTTTACTTATTGTATTTTATTAGGCATTAACATTTTTGTTATATTTTTTTTATAATTTCTTAATTTTTAATTATTAATAATTTTAAATATTATCTGTGTCTCACTTTTAATCTTAACTTTAAATTATCCCTAGCATTATTCAATATTGAATTACCTTCGTTTAAATATGAATGTGTTGAAAAATAAAATAAAAATTCTTACTTTAATGTTATAATACTTTATCTTAAAATAAATCAATCTTTTATGTTTAAAATAAATAAATACTCTTAAAAGTTAGAAAGAAAGATAACTTGCACATTTTACATAATCAGAAATTAAAATTTCATATAACTTCTTATTATATAAACTATTTACAGAAATTAATGAAATGTTAATATATATATATATATATATATATATATATATATATATATATATATACCATATTATCTATTAACTCATTCGGATTAGTTTAATTTTTATTAAATATTCTCGAATTAAATATAAAATTTAATTAATTTACTTTTATTAAAATATAAAATTTAAATCAAATTAATATTTTTATATTTATTGTTATTATAAAAATTTTATTTTTTAAAAATTATTAAATATTTTATAATAAAAAAATGGTCAAATAGAGAGTCTTAAAAGATTGTTATTATATTTATTATTTCAACTTTCATATTCATAAATAAATCATATAATACAAATTTTATTAAGTATAAATATATTATAAATAAAATAAATTTATTTTCAAAATTTGATAATTATAATCAATGTTATCATGAAAATTAATCATATAAGTATAAAAGTACTTTTCATAAATCCACAATAGTGTGTATAATTTTTAAAAGCTATAAAATATAAAATAATTTTACAGATGTAGTCTAGTTAACATCATTTAAAAGTACATACAATTTGTAATTTAAAAGTAAAAAATTATATGAATTATAATTAAATTAATTATTTTCATGTGCAACAAAAATTCTACCTATTTATTAAATAAATAAATAAAGTTATTCTAGATCCATCTAATTAATTTTAAGAGTAGGCTATTGGTTATCTGACAGGTCTGAAACTTGTTTTTTTGGTTGTCCATGACCAATCGGTGGAGGATCCGGTGGACAATAATAACATTGTCACCAACACCCTCCTATATATAACACTTAAACCCTACTCTTAGATTTTATTTTTTCTTTCTCAACAATTTTTTTTTTCTTTCTCTTTTTATTTTTACATGTCCTAATGGTACCAATGGCCAAATATTTAGTTAAAACATCAAATGCCAATTTTGGAGGGCAAGTTTTCAAGTTGGTGAGTCTTTCTCCCCACGTCATTCATGCACCGCACTATATTCTCACATCCATGGTCTTTCATGACATATGAAATGTTTTATTCGGATTATTTTATTTAGGGTTTCATGTTGATTGCTGAGATTTGAGTGCATGAATGAATTAATATCTCAAAATTTGTATCATTTGTTTGCTGGCTTTTATATGATTGACATGCGTTGCCTTCTTTGATGTCTGTGTTAACGATCCAATGCTTGTTATGAAATTCTGATGGACTTTGATAAGTTTCTGTTCTTATATGAATTTGTTACATCTGGGTCCTTTTTTTTGTTGTTTTTCAGAAAATGAATCTAAGATTAACATCTATTTCTTAACTAATTCATCATTCGTACCTTTTCATCAATATTTATGTTTTCTTGAAGAAACCAATTTGTGCTCAAAATTATCTCTTTTGGTGCAATCATTTTTAATCAAAAGATAAATTTAAGAGTTGTTCTCCCAGAAGGTGTCGTGATCACCTATGCTTAACCGTCTTTTCGAGTGTTTATTTTTTATTTTTTGTATTATATTGGTTTTTTTTTTTTTTAACATGTGTTAATGTAATATGCAGTGATGTGAGTGATTTTATTTCTTAGTGTGGTGTTTGAATTTGAGTTTGCAATTAATATGCAGAGGTTTTAGCAATCTATTGGAGTAAAGCTCGAACACTACTCTGGTAGGTGTTCCGGTGCTTATTTCCTCATAAATGGGTTGTTTTCAATCTAAAGTAAGAGAATTTCCATTGGAAAATCCATTTGTTCTTGCCTCAGAAACAGCTTGTAAGTGTTTTTTTATCCTCTAATGAATAATGCAAAGATATATACATAAATTCTTGTCGAGACTATTTTAATGATTACAGCTTTTGTAACTTAACTATTCGAGAACACATGTTGATGTTGTCATGTTTCTATCAAAACAAATAAATTTGAGATGCATTTGTTGTCCAATTGTTTAACCTATGTTTGTTAATTTTTGGTTTCCCAGTTAGCGTGAGTGACGTTGAAGCTCTATATGAGCTTTTTAAGAACATTAGCAGGTCCGTCACTGATGATGGACTAATAAGCAAGGTACACAAAAAATTTTCCTTCATTTTACAACATGTCTGTCATTACTAACCTTAACCACTTACTGTTAGGTATTTTGAAAACTTAATGCGAATAGATTCTCATGAATGAAATGAGTCTGATCTATAACAGAATATGACATTGAAAACATATTTTCTTATATTCTTATATGATTAGTTGATGATCTTACCAAACGTATTTCTTATATTAATTGTGTTTTTCAATATTAACCTTGAAGCACCTAATTGTGATAACTGATAATAAGTGTTGCTTTGCAGGAAGAATTTCAGCTGGCAATTTTCAATAATAAGAAGAAGGAGAATCTCTTTACAAGTCGGGTACTGTAAAACTCTGTTGCAAGCTTGTCTAATTGACCACAATCCTCATACTGAACCCTAATCATAATATATATAGCATGGTTATATCATTTACTATTGTTTGGAAGGGAATTAACATTGGATTTTTTTACATGCAGATCTTTGATTTATTTGATGTCAAGAACAAAGGGGTAATTGACTTTGGTGATTTCGTTAGAGCACTAAATGTTTTTCACCCATCTGCACCAACAGAAGTCAAAATAGATTGTAAGTTTAATATAT